TACAACTACAAGTCAAGAGCTTAGCAGCAGAGGAAACAAGCAGATTGCAATGCCTGTTGATTTTATTGCATTTGTAACAATCTCCAACAGAAACTGGGCAATTTAGATTATTGCTTTATAGTCGGAGTAATAATAGGTGGTTGTTCATTTTTTGATTATACTATTAAAAGAAGTAGGATAACAACAAAAAACTCATTCTTCATTGCCTATTGTGAGATTATGCACACGACACAATCCTTAAAAAATAATTTTCACATGAATAATAATAAAGCAATCTGATAGGATGATAAAGACCTTTGCATACAACAGGCCTTCAGCTCTTTTCCACAGCCTAAAATAAGTTAGTTCTTTGGAGACGCGCAAAATTTCAGCCCACAGCGATCACTGTGGTATCCCTTCCTATCCTGCCCTTAACAGCATGCAGCACTGAATCCTTTTATTTCTATTATTACTTTTGTCCAGCAGTCTGGAAGTCTTAAATCTCAACTCTCAGTCACACATAAGCATGACAGCAATGTGACAGAGCAGGTGTACATCTCTCCAGGCTTGCAAACTGAGCTTGCTGCCTGTCATGTCCATCCCATTTCAAGTGAACTTTGACAGTGTTCATTTGTGGGTAAAGAGAAATCTGCTTTGTTTGGGGTCAAGGGGAGGAAGGCTGAGGAGGATGAGAACAGCTGCTCATTCTAGAAAACTCCTCCAGGAAATCCACCTGCTACAGGGAAGAGGATCAGTTTGCTCAGGTGTACATGGGGGTAACACAAGCCAAGGAGCACTCTGAAGGTCCAGACCTTCAGATGCTTTGGGAAAAGCTTCCAAAAGGGTCAAAAAGAAGGCAGGGGTACAAAAGCCCTGTCCATAGCAGAGGCCTTGCAAGGGATGAAAAAGACTTTGCTTTTGCTGTTGTTGCTGATGGTTTTATTTTATTCCCTGGTACTGTTGCTTTCTATCTTGGCTAATTCTCTGATTTTGTGTAACATGTTCAGTTTTATGGAACAGATGGATTTACAGGCTTTGCTGTAGCTTAGAAGAGAGGATAGCTTTTGGGGGGCTTCCACACTCCTCCAGGTTGTGTCATATATGCAAGTTGTACGCTATTTTCCATTCAAGTCAAAGGTAACAGTAAAGAAAGCATCCACTACTCAAATCTGCTATCATCTCAAGTATTTCACATGGTTTAAAATTTTTGTGAGCTATGATCCAAAGCAGCCTGAGCAAAACACTAGACAGTACCGTGCCTGTGCATTTAGGATACAGCAGATTAACATCATCACCGAGGAACTGCAAGGGCTCATGGCTTTTTCCCCTTTTATGATTTCTACAGCTTATCAACAAGATGACATTGTACCAGGGCAGTATTCTGGAAGATTACTTTTCATCTTGCAGATCACTGAAGTATGCACCCTTTGACTCCACACCTGTCATCATGGCCACATCACACACACAATATACTCCAAGAAATGAGATAGCTAAAATAAAAAAAAAAAAAGCCCCCTCAAAAAAAAGAAACCACCAAAACAACACCACCACCTCTCCAATTTATGAGATCACTGGTCTAAGAAATCTGTCTATAATGCAGCTACCACTACAGATGAAGAAGCCATGTCAGGAAACTCAAAAAGAGAATGAGATGCAGCAAGGTCAGTTTGAAAAAGTAGTCTGTATCAATTCCAGCAATCACTACAGGACAGGAATCATTCCAGATCATGAAACAGGAACTCAAATGCTTTATGTCCTGTTAAACATAAATTATGAGTGCTTTCTGCAAGCAGTGAAAAGGGATTACTAAAAGGGGAAATAAAAACAAAAAAAAAAAGCAGGGATTAACTGGACTATTTTTATAAGGAAGGTGAGGCTGTGGCATCTGTTTAAACACAAATGTACTGTCTTCAGGCTAGCAAAAAAACTCTGCATTGTCATTCGCCTTAGACAGCCTCTTGCAGGGAGAGAGACAACAAGGGAGAGCACCGGAAAGCATCAGATATTCAGTCTCTGATTTCAAAGCCTTGGAAGCCCCATTGGATTGTTCAATACGACCTTCAATGGAAGTTTGAGTTTTATGTGCACGTCCTTCCACACAGGGGACTGGAGGGGTTTGACTGCCTAGTGCTAGCTGATAGCAAACGTACTCAAACATTACACAGCTAAACCTTCTCCCCTTGTTTAGGTACAGGAGTGCATCACTCTCAAACAACCAGATACGTGCTCAGTATCTGCTTCCCCCAAGAAAGCAACATGCCAAAGTTCTGAGGTGGAGGCTGCATGCTGGACACTCTTAGAAATCAAAACAGGGAGAATCAAAACAAGTTCTTCAGCTCAGACCAAAGGTCTTCATTCTCCACTGTTCAAAGGCAGCTGTGAGCCTCTACTGATCTTTCACTGGCAATTTATAGGGATGAGATAACATGTATGTGTTGGGTAGATGTGGATGGTCAGATTTACCACCACTGACTGCTACAACAACCACAGCAAACACCCTGTACCTTTAGTCTGTAGAAGAACATAATGGATAGAAATATTTCCAGGCACCTAGTTTCTGCATCTCTGGCATTTGCTCATCTGTATCATAATATGGCTCCCAGGATACTTCTGACATTTTCATTTACTGTGACTATCAGGCAGGACTTTCCAGCTACAGTGGCACTGAGAATTTAAAACAGAACTGCCAGAGGCATATTTAAATTGTTAATTGCTTTAACTGTTAATACTGCTTAATTATAAAGATTTACAAAACATTTACCATTTAACTTTCCTGGAGAGGAATGGAGAGCACCTTACCTAATGGCTCTTTTATTCCACCCCAATTGGTCAACTCAGTTTAAATATTCATTCTAATTTTCAAGTCAGTGAAGAGTTTTGCTTGCAGAATGATAGTACAGATAACCTTTGTGCCCAAAGGTGTTATATAAGCAGACAGGCTGTGCTCTATAGATATGTTCTGCCAATTACACATATTTCATTTTTTAATCCCCTTCTCTGCTGTAAAATTGTACTCTTTGTCTTACCACATACACAAAGGATCAGTTTGTAAAGCACAAGAAGTCTGATGCGTATTTTAAAAGCAGGGGCCCATAGCTTACATACAGAGAGTCATGTTATTTACAAACACACTTCCACTGACCTGTAATTAAAATGAGATCCTTGGTGGAGTTCACTTTCCATTTAGGCATACGGAAAATCAGGCAGCCAGATTTTCTAAAGCTCTGCTCTGAGCATTTAGTAACCATCACCACTAACAGGAGCTCCTGAACCTTTCAAGCACTTGTGAAACCTGGCAGCTTACTTCTAGAGCTTACATTTGAGTTTCTCATATGAAAAGAACCCAACCCCAGACCTCAAAATCTTACTTCAAAGAATTACATGTGTCAGATTTCATTTAACAGTTTTCTGGCTAATAAAAAGACTGATTTTTTTCCTCCTAGAGGTCTGTGTTGGGTTTGCATAGCCAAATTTCAGGGGGCTGGGTGAGAGTTACATGGGTTGCTTCTTTGAGAAGTTGCTTGAAGCTTCCCTATGTCTGACACAGGCAATGCCAGCTGGCTCCAGGATGAACCTGCCACTGGCCAAGGCCAAGTCCATCAACAACTGTGGTAGCACCCCTGGGATAACATATTTAAGATGGGGGAAAAGTTGCTGCTACGTGAGAGAAACAGCTCTGCAGACACAGAGGTCAGCAAAGGAGGGGTAGGAGGTGCTCCAGGAACCATAGCAGAGATTCAGATTCCCCTGCAGCCCATGGTGAAGACAACGGTGAAGCAGCCTGTCCCCCTGCAGCTCAAGAAGGTCCACAGTGGAGCAGAGACCCACCTGCAGCCAGTGGATGAGTCTGTAACCCTATGGAGAGCCCACACTGGGCCATGCTGTGGCCCTGAGGAGAGAGGAACCCACTCTGGAGCAGGTGTGCTGGTAGAACTTGTGACCCTGGGGAGGAACCCCATGCTGGAGCAAGGGAAAAGCATGAGGGGTCCTCACTCTGAGGAAGAAGGAGCAGTAGAAACAAGGTGTGATCAACTGAACACAACTTCCATTTTCCTGTCCCCCTGCACTGCTTATGGGGAGGAGGTAGAGACAACTGGGAGTAAGTTCAGTTCAGGAAGAAGGGAGGGGTGGGAGGTATTTTTAGGATTTGTTATTATTTCTCATTAACCTACTCTGATTTGATTGGTAATAAATCAGTTCTTCCCCAAGTTGAGTCTGTTTTACTTTTGATGGTAATTGTTGAGGGATCTCTCCCTGTCCTTATCCCAACCAACAAGCCTTTCCTTGTATTTTCTCCCCTGTCCAACTTGAGGAGTGGAGTGATAGAGCAGCTTTAGTGGTCACCTGGCATCCAGACAGGGTCAGCCCACCACAAGCTCATCCATCCCCACAGCAGAGCAGCTGTGCCTGATGCTATTCCCGCACTTCCCAGCTGCAGCCTGGCTGTGCAGCATGGTGCTCTACACTGCTGGGTGGGTTACACAGTGTGCCAGGCTAAAGCAACACTCTTGGTTGTGGTTCTTTTTGGTGCAGAGTCACAGAGCCTATGGGAGCCTCAGTCTTTCAGCAGAGCACAGACATATCCACTGCAGTGCATGAAATCACAGCCCAACGTGACGGTGAGTAAAACCCCACCCTGGAGTTGTGTCTAAAGCAGGACATGCAGTCCCTTCACTGAGCAGTATTCACAGAAAGGAAATTCATTTCCATGCAGAAGCCAGGAGAGACAATCCCAGTGACACACAGCCAATAGAGCAGGCTTAGGCATGGAGGAAGACAATCTGCCTTAACGTAGCAGTTAAACTCAGTAACAGAAATCTTTATGTGTCAGAGTTCCTTGTTTCAGTACTTAACTAGTCATAATGTAGCCTGGGAATTCAAAGACCTGAGGTGGAAGCAGAGAGAGAGAAATCAACATCCTGGAAAAAACCCACACCATTAGGAAAAGACAGACAAAATCCTTGCTATTTTCTCTTCTCTATTCCCTTCCCACAGGCAAATTTACACCACCTCTCACTCACCATGGGCTATCGGTGTTAAGAGCATTGTGAAGAACAGCAGCTGTGATGACCACATGACTGTGAAGGAGAGCTTGAAAGTATCCCAGCAAACAAGGGTTCAAACAAAAAAGTGAGAGTCCTCCTGTACTTGCTTCCAACACTTCAACTGTTGGCCTTCAATTCGCATCCAAAAATGGGAAAAAAACAATCAAAAATAATAGTAATAAAAAAATCCCACAGCCAGTATCCAGAGTCTGAGACCTACAAATGAGAAAGGAAAAAAAAATGCAGTTAGTAAAACAACAAGATAGGTGTTTTCAATCAAGTCTTGCTGTGTTTCTTTGCTGCCAGCAGCTGTAAAGGCAAATGTGTCTTCCCCCCTTCCTGGCCCTTCTTATACACGCACATTCCTACATAAAATACGAATTAAAACTTATCCCTGTGCAGAGAGACAGTTTAGGCATCTGCTTCCTCTCTCAACCAGTTTTGAACAACAATGCCCACAGATCTAGACAGTCCACAGGCTTTGAAAGCTGACTGGAAAAAACAATTCCATACACATTGCATCTTAGTGTAAGTACATGGGACTTTTAATACAGGGGAGGGGGGAGCAAAGAATAAATGCAAGCTCCTGGAAGAGCACAAAGTCACCAAACTGCCAACAAGACAGGTTGCTTCGTCACTCAGTCTAGGCCATTCCTGTGAGCACACATGGGAAGCACAGTGCTTTAGGAGAAAATCCAACTCAGAGCTGCGACAGAGCTGCAGTCCCTGGCCTGCCTCCCCTTTCCCTTGAAACAGAAACCTTTTTTCAATATATGAAACACAGGCACATCAACTCAGCTAGTCCCAATGTAGGGAGTAAGACACCCAAACAACAATCTTAGGCTTTGGCTTTCTCTTTAGCCTCCCACACAGTATGTAATGCAGGTGGACACGCTGGCCAAGAATTACCTATGCAAACATCTGCTATATGTCCTGAACGAGTCAGGCAGAAGCTGAGCCCAGCACTTCCCCAGGTACCTGGGCACTGCACTATTCTGCTAAGACCTTTCACTCTTTTTTGAATTTCTCTCATGCCTCTGCTGCAGAGGCTGACAAGATACCAGGCAGTGGGACTAGTAATACGGTTTGGGAGCATTTCCACTGATATGGCTCTTTTCGTTTGAGGCATCCTGTGTGGCTTTTAATCACTGAATCTAGACCAGGCTTTAAACCCGAATAGAGCCTAAAGTCGCCCTTATTCTCTAACAAGCCACCTTCCAGTCACTGGCAATGACTCGCTCCTAGTCAAGCTCTGCAGTTATTTATTGTGGAATTAAAAATAATGGTCTCGTCCATCCCACACGCTTACAGGAAAGCACAGGAAAATCTGAATCCATGCTTGAATAAAAACACTCACTCATTTAACTGGAGAACATATTCCAGCTTTCCATCATTTTAATCTCTCAAGAAGGGTCTAGATGGCCACAGTGACTCAAACTTGGCAGGAAAAAAACAACTATACAGACTTAAACTACGGCATCAGTTTGAGACTTAGCTCCCCACTGACTTTGAAATGATGAGGAAGTATGAGGAATTGAAAAGTACTTTACGTATCTGTTTTGAACTCCTTAGACTGCAGTCTTCACAGCACTGGTCTAATTAAAAGTCTCTCAAAAAATCTCTGATCAACAGAAGTTATTCTTCTCTGAGCAAAGAAGCTGTTTTTGCCAACTTCTGTTCTTGCCCAAAACCCAGTCTGAGCCAAAAACAGTATGAAAAAACTGTGCTGCATGCCATTGTGATGTGGGTATATTTCTGGAAGTTTGGCATGACAAAGTGGCCTTTGTTTTGCTTCCTATCTTTACTGATCGACTAAATCAAACCCCACATTGTTTAGAACTAAAGTCTATAAAGAAGCTGTTTTGAGGGTTTTTTTAATAAATATATCTTTCAGTGCCAAGATTTTATGCTCCCACTCTACTCTCCTCCCCAGTCTGTCCCTGCAATTTGTTCACTCAAATGTATCATTTAGTTTCTGTAGCTTTTTCTTATCTCTGTAACTGGGGTGACTAAAAAGCCCAAGGTCAATCTGCAGTCAAGTGGCTTCTTTATAGACATCCTTGAAATTAAGACTTTGCTGGAGCTGGGACTAATCAAAATGGCCACTGATAATATTTAAAGTCTGTTATTCAAACGGGAACAAGCCTCATGAATATTTTAAACTGTACATTTGAAACAGTGATCAAGTTTTCCATTTATATTTTAGCAGGCTACCAGCACACAAGCTACACCACTGACCATTATTTATGCATACTTTTTCTACAGTATCCTCTGAAAAGTTTTAAGAGTAAGAAGCTTTTTGTGCTACAAAATTTGAAAAGGCATACAGAGATGAGCAAAAGCTATCCAAGCTCAGGTACACTTCCCTAGAGCAAAAGCTCAGTCAGGCAGTGATGGAGTAAAGGTTTGTTTTCTGATTTTAATTTGTTTAAGCTGAATCAGTTCTGAATAATCTAAGTCTGTTAGAAAGAGATAACATTATGGTGCAGTAAAAGGGGTTTAGGTGTAAACTGACAAAGTCACAAATTAATTAGGCTCCCTATCCCAGAGAAGGGATAATTGTCAACAAAATATTTACACAGTGGCCTTTAAAATTGTTTTTATCTGTCTCTATATACCTTCATAATAGGATTCATGGATATTTTTTTTCTGTCATCTCATGGGCTAGGGCTGAATGAGAAAAAGGATTCACTTGCCCTCTGCAAAGTCCAAGCAAAGTCTAATTTTTGGGAACTAATGTCTTGGAACCACCAGAACTACAAATAAACATTTTATCCTACTGGAAAGTACATTATTGAGTCACAAAGCTCCTGTGCAAAAGAGACAAAAGGACTTGCTCAGCATTATGCACCATTTACTCCAGTCATAAATCTGGTCCAGTATTCTCTGTCCTACCATCCTTCCTGCCAGAGGAGAATACACCAGAGATGTGGCCTGCCAGGTGGTGTCTGCACACCCTGGCTGGCACAACCTTGCCCTTAAGCCTGCTTCTACAAAGAGTTCAATCCCTTAGGCTTAAGCTCATGCACATATATTAACAAATACACAATGTGTCTGGAGACATGCCAATTGTGTTTAACAACACAGGGCACCACTATATTAACCAAATACATGTAACACTACAAAATTCTGGGTGGGTTTGTATTTCATGTAATCAAATAATCATAGAGTGTTTGTGAACCGGATATCTGCAGGGGAACAGCTAGATAGGAAATGAGTTAAACAACCCTTTTCCTTAGTGGTCACTCAGCCCCTCTCAAGCAGCAGTATAAGATGCAGAAAGAGGCTCACAAAACAAAATTCACTTCATCTTTGGATTACCTCCAGGTAAAGTGCAGCCAAAGAGAGAAACTAGAGCACATATCTGTGAACTGTTCAGTGCAGAGTGTTACATTTATTGATGCAAGAAAGGCATACACTATCACAGTGAAAAATTTAAGGGCTACACTTGACCTAAGGGGTTTGGAGTTTAACCACAAAGACGATGCAGCCTGCATTGATTTAAAAGAAAGTTCTTCTGCTCACTGACCTTTATACCCATAAGGCTACCCCTGACACCTTCACAGTCTGATCTCTTGCATCACCCAAACCAGAATTGCATGCTGGCAGTTCCCAAAAATCCTACTCAAAGTGTTACTGACAGAACAGGAGAAAGCCAAAGGAAACTAAGGCCTCATGGTGAAGAGATGAGCAGTGAAGTATTCATCAAGGCGTTGCTCATAAAAGAGCATTATAGATACACTGACAAACTCAACATCTACCCAAGTCTGTTCTTCAGCAGTTGATGTCAAGCAGCACATGGAGCATTTTCTGAGCTCATCTGTCGAGAGTCTACAGGGAGGGCGAAAAAGAAAATTAAACCAGTTCATGTGGTGAGTGAACAGATAGGCTGAATTCAAAGTAGAATTCAGTGCAGCGGAAGCCAAGCAGGTCAGAAATCCATTCAATTACTGCCTTCTTCCAAACACGAGCATTTACACCTGCACAAAGCTGGACACAACCCTTCTCACATGGCAAAAGCTACCAGCCTTCCTCAGCTAACCAGTATTTTCTAGGCAGTTGGGGTAAAGGAGGGCCGAGAGTGTTTTACAAGGGGGCTCATTACCAAAAGCCTGATAGAAATGCCCTGTTTTTCTTATCCAGTTTTACTTGCAGTCATTTTCTTCCTACCCCTGAAAACACGCATAGTAAAACTAGCTTCAACAAATCAGTGACAAGAACTACTTTATATTTCTTAATACAAAAGATTCCTGCACTTATCTTCTCCTTTGGCAGAAGTCACCTACCAAGTAGAAAATAAATGTGATGTTTCAAACAAATACTGATTAAATTCACTATTTGCAACAGGAAAAGTTTGGAAGTAATTAAACTCTTTGAAGCTGACGGACCAAGCTGGAATCATGGATGTAATCCTCCATTCTCAGCATCTGCCACTTGAGACAATTTATTCCAGGCAACATTTTCAGAATTTAACCAAGAGAGGGAAGAAAAATAACCCCAGCAAGAAAAACTATAACATGCAATCTCTGTAAAATTTAACTAACTGCAATTTAATGTTAGAAAACTTCTTTAACTAAGAGAATGAACTGTATTTCCACTCTCATTATGAATGTCTAAACAAAAGAATTACTGCAATACATTTGGCCATAAGTTGTTTGCAAAACACATTTTAATTGTTTGTTTGTACTTAAAAAAAGAAAAGACTTCATTAAAAAAGCTAAGTTGTGCTCCTCCAACCTCCTTCCACCTTTACCCTGTCAAGTACTCAGGGTTTGGCTCCCTGGTCACTTGGCGATGGCAGCAACACAACCTGCCACGTAAGAGGTCACACAGACGTTAGTGACTGTATAACACAAGGGGAGCAGGGCAGGAGCAGGCTGCAATCCTGCAGTCCATGGAACCACATGCACTTGCACTCATAGCCACTCACTGAACTTACTGCTACAGGGACATGGTTATTTATGGACAGATTTTTTCCGTGAGCATTTTCAAGAAGCCCAGAATGTGTTTCTGAGACACAAACTGAATTGTCTGTAGACTTTCATTCGTGTCTGCATTTAGCCCAGGAGAATATTCATACTATACCACAAGTACTTATAAACTCAGAGTTCTCACCAAAGTTCAGAAAAACAAGCTTTTTTTCCTCAAAATATGAAGCAGCAGCCACAGCTTTTGGCTCTTTATTTCAGGTTTTAAGTTTGCCAGATGTGAGGAGG